CCTTTAACGCATCTAATTCTTTTTAAATTTACTAATGTTTTTCATTTGTACTTCTTGCCACTGTTGTTGACTTTCTTCCTTTTTCCTTTCTTGTTCTAGTTGCCACTGCTGTAATCTCTCTTCTTGTTTATTTTCTTTCTTCTCCAACCACTGCTGTAGTCTCTCTTCTTGTTTCTTTTCTTTTTCCTCTAACAACTGCTGTAATCTTTCTTCTTGTTTCTTTTCTTTTTCCTCCAACAACTGCTGTAATCTCTCTTGTTTATTTTGCTGTTCGAGCTGCCACTGTTGCAGGTTTTCTTGCAACTGCTGTTGTCTCTCTTCTTGTTTACTTTCTCGTTCTTCTTGTTTCTTTTGCTGTTCTTGTATTGCTGCCATCAAGTCTGCTATGCTGTAGTTTGATTTGCCGCCTCTCGTTTCCATCTTCTTATTATTCTCTGTGTCTGCAATCCTCGGTTCCCGCCGACCGTAATCACTGTCTTTCTTTCTCTCTGCCTGCTTCGTCTCTGTCTCCACTACTGCTTCGACTCGACTCCCTCTCTCACTATCTAGCACATTTATATACGATAATACTGCCTGTTCTAGAAACTTCTAAGACTCTCAACATGCGCCACCAGCGTAACTGACCCCCGCTGTCGCAACACACTAGCGAATCTTCTAGAATATTCGTCACGTGACCCCACTGTCGTAACACATTAGCGAATCTTCTAGAATACTCGTCACGTGACCCCCACTGTCGTAACATTACTTTTTTCTTCAGTACAGGTTTGATTCTTCGTTTTTATGTTTGTTTGTCATTAAGTACAAAGCTAGACAATGGGCTATCTGTGCTCTGCCCACCACGGGTATAGAAACCCAGATTCTAGCATTGTAAGTTCACAGACATACCGCTGTGCCACTTGGGGCTCATTTTTATGAGTTTCTTTGTTTCAACTCGTAAAGCCGTGTCATACACTGAACGTTCATAAATGTTTCATACTCTGTACACTATTATAAATATCATTACTTTACTTCATTATTTACTTTACGTGTAGTTTATTAAATAAAGTTACGTCTATGCTAGTTTACTTGTCTAACCACAAAATGTTTTCCCAACTAGACACAATTTATTGATCTAACACATAATTCTTCAAGAAAGCATAGCTTAAATGACGTGCGTGAAAATTGTAGAAAAAGGAAATTTCAAGTGAAGAGCATGAAAACTGCCGCAAATGTTTTGCGTTTCGCAGCTAGTTTCTATTGTTACGACAGCGGAAGTCACGCGATGCTGGGAGCATGCGCGCTGGAGTTTCTAGAAGGATCATATATTTTCCTGGCAACTCTAGTTGGTTCGAGGCGCCCTCTTTTTTAGTATATAAGCCTGGCGAGAAAAACCAGCTCGATATAAGAGATAGATTGAAGATAGAGATAATTGATCTCTTATCATAACATTAGCTTCATGGAATCAGCAGACGTTTACAAGTTTGAACGCACTTGATGATGAATATCATCC